GGCCACCACGGGTGTTTATTCCCCCTCTCCCGTGGGCTGGAGGGACCCAGGGGGTGTTCCTGTGGGCCCTGGGTTGGTGCAGGGAGGGGCAGAGCCGAGGGCGCTCCCAGGGTTTGTCGCTCCCTTCCATCCATCACCCTCCATAAATATTTATGGATGCAGCAGGGCCCTCGGCTCCTTCCACTAAAAATAACATTCCTAAGCATCACGGGAAAAAAAAAAAGTGCTGAAAACCACCCGTGACTGGGACTGGTGGCCACGTTTTGGGAACCAGCGATGGCAGAGGAGCCCAGCACGGGTCACTGGGGAGCTGCCACCCCCTGCTCCCTTATTTCCTTTGCTTTTAACCAACACTGGACCCAACTCCCGGTGCTGGGAGTGGAGATGCAGCTCTCAGCCTGTCCATGCTTCTCCCCAGATTCCCTGCTGGGGGTGGGAAGGCTCCCACAGCCTGAAGAGCTGCTCCCAGCAGGGCCGGGAATGCCGGAGGTTGGTGGCCCATCACGGCCCCCTGGTCAGACACCCCTTCACCTGCACCCGCCCCCGGGAGGACACACCTCACACCCCACTCGAAGGTGGGTTTTTGAGAGAGAATCCCCTTCGTGCCACGCAGGAGGGACCCCAGGAGGGCCTGCCCCCCTTTTTCCATGCACACGAGGAGGAAGGACCAGCGTGTGAGGCGACGGTGGCACCGCCCGGGAGGAGATGGGGACGGAGCCACGCACGGAGCGGGAACAGCCACCAGCAGTTTCCTTTCAGGTGTTTTTTTTTGTTTCGTTTTCTCAAGCCTCCCGTGCCTCGCTGAGCCGGGTGGGACATGGTGTGGGCGTCGCTGGGGAACACGCCGAGGGAACATGCAATGGCCCCGAGGGCAGGAGAGTCCTCCGGGTGTTCCGGGGAGAGCCCCCCGGGTGGCTGTGGGAGAGCCCTCCCGCTGGCTGTGGGAGGGCTGTGTCGGCAGCAGGTGGTGGAGATCGGTCACAGTTGCACGATGGTGATGGATGGGCTGAACGTGCCTCTTCCCAAGGACGGGAGACGTCCCTCGGTCGCGAGCGCGACCTCCGCGCCTGCGGCACCAGAAACACCCGTCAGCACCCACGGGGGAGCAGAGCTGCAGCCCAGCCCACTGGGGCAGAGCCAGAGCCACCTGCCCCTGCTGGGACCTGGGCAAAAGGAGCCTCAGGGGGCACCTTTTCGCTCTCTGGAACTCCCTGACAGGAGGGGGGGGCTGGGGGAGTTCGGGCTCTGCTCCTAGGGAACAGGGGACAGCACAAGGGGGAACAGCCTCCAGCTGTGCCAGGGCAGGGCCAGGTTGGATATTGGGACAATTCCTTCCTGGAAAGGGCTGTCCAGCCCTGGCACAGCTGCCCAGGGCAGGGTTGGAGTCCCCATCTCTGGTGGGATTTAAAATCCCTGTGGATGTGGCACTTTGGGACAGGGGTCAGTGGTGGCCTGGGCAGTGCTGGGGGATGGTTGGACTCGATGGTCTCAGAGCTTTTCCAACCCCAATGATTCCATGACTCTAAGACCTCCTGAACCTTCTGGCTGGGGCTGTGCACCCCTGGGGCCATCCCTGGAAATCTTGGAGCAGACCCAACCTGTGGCACCCACGAGAGTCCCCCTGACCCCAGAGCTCCTCACCTCGGACCCCAGAGAACCAGGAATCATGAACTCCTAAGTCCCTGACACCTGGACACACAGGACTGGGAGGAACCTGGGGAATCAGAGAGTCCCAGGATCACTGAGGTTGGAAAAACCCTCCCAGCCCATGGATCCCCCCTGTGCCCCATCCCCACCTTGTCCCCCAGCCCAGAGCACTGAGTGCCACAGCCAGGCCTTCCTGGGACACCTCCAGGGATGGGCACTCCAAACCTCCCTGGGCAGCCCCTGCCAGTGCCTGACCACCCTTTCCAGGGAGAAATTCTTCAAGGTGTAAGAGCCACCACAAGTTAAAGACTTGTTTTTGCTTTTCTTTTTTGTCCTTTCCCATTCTTTCAGGAGGATAAAGAAGTCTGAAAGTGGTTCCCCTCTCATTTTCTCAGTGGTCTCTAATTCAGAGCCCGTCAGCTGCTCCTGGGAGGTGTTGGAGGCCCTGCTGGAGCACCTCATCTCCACATCAGTGCTGAGGGGTGAGAGGGTCACAGACATCCCTTTCTCCAGAGCCGTCAGGGTAGAGGGACGTGAAGAAAAGCCTCACACTGGGGCCCAAACAGCTCCCTGTGCTGGCTCCCCCCCCAACACTATAATTTCACTCCTTCTTGAGTTACCAGATTGTTTCCCAGATGAGGCAGGACTTGAATTTCTAATGCAAAAACTGTCAGAAAGGCTCCCAAGCCCCTCTGGGGTTCTCTCCTTCCGCTGCTGAAGCGGCTGGAGACAGGAAGGGTAAATCCCCTTTATTTCTCCTTTGCCAGTTGCCTGCACAGGACACTGGTGGGAACTGGTGGTGGGTTTATCCCAATCTGTGGTTGGATCCATCACTGATTCTCCTGGCCCATGACCACAGGGGGCTGGGGCTCAGTTAAAGATAAAATTCCTTCTCCTGCCTGGTTCCTACAACCACCCAACCTACAGAGTGAGGGAAAAGGTCCCAGAGGAAGGGCCCCTCCTGCCCCTGTCCCTTTCTGGCCAATTCTAGGTGCGTCCATGGCAGGTTTTGTGCCAGGACCCCGCTTCCCAGCGGGAATGGGGAGTGATGGGAACGATGGCAAACATCCAGGGAGTGTGGAAACCCGAGCAGTGCCCTCCTAGGAGCGTTTCAGGTGGTTGAGATAAGGATCTGGTTCAGGTCTGTGGAGACATTGTCACACTTGTCACACAGAGCTCGGGCTCTGTCTGTCCATCTGTTGGGCCTTGGTATAACCCAAAGCCCCGGCTCTGTGGGGGGAGAGATTGTGGGTTTGGTACCTCTGGACAGTGTCCATCACCACGGGGTCCCACATCCCCACTGAGGCCTCTTCCTATGGAAGTGACACCAACAAAACTGGAGATAAGGCTGCTCTCACTGGAGGTAACGGTGTTTTCCCACTTTGGGGAGAGCTTGGAGCCTCTTCCAGAGCCTAAAGGGGCTCCAGGAGAGCTGGAGAGGGACTGGGGACAAGGCATGGAGGGACAGGACACGGGGAATGGCTTCCCACTGCCAGAGGGCAGGGAGAGATGGGAGACTGGGAAGGAATTCCTGGCTGGGAGGGTGGGGAGGCCCTGGCACAGGTTGCCAGAGAAGCTCTGGCTGCCCCTGGATCCCTGGAAGTGTCCCAGACCAGGTTGGACAGGGCTTGGAGCAACCTGGGCTGGTGGAAGGTGTCCCTGCCCATGGCAGGGGGTGGCACTGGATGAGCTTTGAGGTCCTTTTCAACCCAAACCATCCTGGGATTTATGAAAAACATCCTTTTGAACGTTGCAGAGCGATGGGCAGGTGGGACCGTTCCTGGTGCAGAAACAGGAGAGGAAGGACAGGAGAAGGGGGTGACAGGAGCTCAGACCTATGCACTGCTGGAGATGGGAAGAGAAATCCATCTGTCCTTACCTGAATTGCTGTCCAGCCTCGGCTGCCCTCCTAACCTGCAACACAGGGAAGGGCACGGTCAGGAAATGGATCATTTTATTTCCCATAAAATGAAGAATCTACTCCCCCACCTCTTATTCCTCCAAATTGGACTCCCCCAGAACTGCACCCCTGGGGATACACAGCAAGTCCTCTGAAAGGCAAGTGGGAAAGTGCTGATGCCCAGAGCCCAGCAACCCCAGCATGGCCAGGGTGGGATTCTCCAGTCCCACCCCTCAGAGCGGGGTCAGCCCCACAGGCTGCTCAGGACCTTCGCCCTGAGGTTGTAGAGACCCCACAGCCTCTTGGAGCAACCTGTGCTTGACCACACTCAGGGTAAAAAGGTACTTGTTATGTCCAAATAGAGTTTCCACGTGCCCATTGTCTCTCTTTCCCTTCCTTGGGCACCTTGGAGAAGACTCTGCTTCAGTTTTCTTCAGTCTCTCCCACCAGTTGCTTGCACACACTGATTTGATCCAAGTGTCACCTTTATCACTGCCACAGGGCAGGTGGATTCCACAGAATCCCAGAAGTTTGGGTGTGAAGGGACCTTAAAGCTCATCCCATCCCACCCCCTGCCATGGGCAGGGACACCTCCCACCAGCCCAGGTTGCTCCAAGCCCTGTCCAACCTGGCCTGGGACACTTCCAGGGATCCAGGGGCAGCCACAGCTTCTCTGGGCAACCTGTGCCAGTGCTGAAATCCAACTTAAAATTGGATGTTTCTGTCTAGGAAATCTGATGGGGCAGCAAACTGTGCTTTTTTCAGCAGTTTGAGCTGATCCCAGCTCTTTAGTCTCTTTTCCAGTGGTTTGAGGGTTATAAAATCCAAATGGTCAGTACAGGGAGGGACCAGCCCATGGAGAGCCTCAGGTGACACTGTCCTGGGTTCACGTGGTCCTGGGGGAGAGGCAGCAGGACCCTGCAAACAGGGACTGCAGGACAGCCCTGGCAGAGCCAGTGCCCCACCTGGAACAAAGCCTGGCAGAGGGGAACACGTGGACACACAGTGCCAGGTCCCAGGCACAGTGGGAACGCCGAGGCTGAGGTGGCTTTGCCAGCTCCCAGCTGGGCTCTTCCGAGCCTGGAAAACTCACGGACGTCTCCGAAGACGTCGCTGAGTTCGTGATCCCAACCACAGACCACGGAGCCAACTTGGAGGCCTCCAGGATGATTTCATCCCCCCCTGAAGCTGCACCAAGTGCAGGGACGTCACTGTCTCCAGCAGGGAAGAGAGGGCTGGGGTTGATTATTGGGACACAGGGAAATAGGAAATAACTCCACAAAGAAACTTTTGAGGAAGCCCAGGGATGATGACGTCCCTAGGAATGGTTTTAAACGCAGAGAGGATCAATTTGGATTGGATATTGGAAAGAAATTCTTCCCTGTGAGGCCTGCACAGGTTCCAGAGAAGCTGTGGCTGCCCCTGGATCCCTGGAAGTGTCCAAGGCCAGGTTGGATGGGGTTTGGAGCAACCTGGGCTGGTGGGAGGTGTCCCTGCCCATGGCAGGGGGTGGGATGGGATGAGCTTTAAGGTCCCTTCCCACCCAAACCATTCCATGATGATTCTCTGAAACCCATCACAGCAGAGTTCCCATGAGACCAGCATGTCCCTTGTCCGTGTCTGCAGGAGCTGGGGAGTGTGGGAGCTGCCAGGGACGTTTCTTTTTGCTCATTCCAGATGGGAGAGTGTTGCTGAGCTGGGGCTGCTGTGCCCCAGATGAAGCCCAGGCACAGCTCCCTGTGGGCACAGCTCAGAGTCCGTGTGCCCACAGATCCCTGTAGGTAATGTGGGCTCTGGTACCACCCATCCCTGACGTACCCACAGACCCCAGGCACCCCTCACCATGGGGTCTGGAGCAGCTCCCACGGTGCCCACGCCGGGGCTGCACTTTCATATTGATTATTCCTCGATTTCCCTGCCAGGTTTTACCTCACTGGCTCTGGGACATTAAGAAATCACTTTTTCCCTGGCAGGGATAATATTTACATTCCACACGGAGGCTTTTGGATCCAGCTCTGCTTTTGGACACACGTCTCAGCCGTCCCTGCCCGGCTGCTGGGATGAGTAACGGAGCGGTTTGTGTTACATCTCTGCTCCCATACATCAGACTCCAGCTCCTCAGAATCCCCCTTTCCCTATTTCCCATGCAAGGCACAATGCATATTTGGAAAAACCAGACGGGTCATCTGGTAAGCATCTAAAATATTCCACTGAAGGAGGAATGTTCTGGGGCAGAGAGGGTCCTGTGACTCGGAGCCAGGGAGATCCTGCTTTGGGAGCTCCCGTTTCAGCCAAAATCGAGCTTCCCGCGCTCCTTCCCACCAAGTTCAAACACTGCTGGGCAAAGGAACAGAGAGTTTCCAGACACCTGGATGCTTTGCAGAACTCACTGGATGGGAAAACTCAGGGAAATGAGCTCTTTTGGGGAGAAATGTGAGATCTGCCACCTCGGCGCAGCCGGAGGGGAACGTGCGTGTAACAAAATAGGGCTGAAAAGTCCCCGTTTGTTGATGCTGGAATCGGGTTTGGCTCAGGCCACACAAATGCCTGGGCTGATTCAAACCCTGCCAGGGCTGTTCCTGGTGTCTGGGTCTGAAACATGGGAAGCAGAGGCCGAGAGAGCCCCGAGCGAGGTCCCGTCCCCAGGAGGGGCTCTGTGGGGGTTTGTGGGGCTCTGCGGGGGTTTGTGGGGCTCTGTGGGCTCTGTGAGGGTTTGTGGGGTTCTGTGAGGGTTTGTGGGGCTCTGTGGGGGTTTGTGGGGTTCTGTGGTGGTTTGTGGGGCTCTGTGGGGGTTTGTGGGGCTCTGTGAGGGTTTGTG